ATCCACACTAATGTTAAAATCTGAAGAAAGCCTCTTTACCAAGCTCCAAACTAAGTTAAATATCTCAAAAAGTGTAAAAGATATCAAAAATAAAAATCAATTCTGAATAGCTGAAGGTCTTGTGATCATTTGAAAGTTGGAATGAAGTGTCTAGCTGAAAGTATGTGGAAGGAGTAGCATTTGGCGCAAAGTGTAGGAAAAGAGGATTTGAAGGCATCTCCCATTGACTTCCATGTTAAAAAAAGAGTTTAAAAAGCTGAATATTTCAAGAAGTATAAAATATTTTTAAAAATGTGAAGGTTTCCCATCGATTCCTGAACAGGCTGAATAGTTTAATATTTGAATGGTTTCTGTAGCTGAAAGTAAGCTGCAGTTATGGAGAGCCAAAGTATTGGCTGAAATAATAATAATAATTTTAAGCGGAAAGAATAAAGATTTGAAGTACTATAGTGGAATGCTGTGGCACAGCATTCGCACTAATAAGCGGAAAGAATAAAGAAATTGAAGTACTATAGTGGAATGCTGTGGCACAGCATTCGCACTAATAAAGATTTGAAGAACTATAGTGGAATGCTGTAAACAGCATTCGCACTAATAAATTGAAGTACTATAGTGGAATGCTGTGGCACAGCATTCGCACTAATTATATTATCATTGTATCTGTGTATAAAATGGTTTTAACAAAACATTATTTAACTACTTGGGCATGTCTATGATATGTCTTTTTAAGATGTTTATTAATAATAGTAATAACCCGGTGAGCTGGTTGTAATTTCACAAAACTCTCTTCTATTATGGCGTTATTTTTTATATTTCTATCCTGAGCTGAGAATGAGAGAAAGAGAGCGGAGCAGGAGCTTATGAGAGGGCTTGAGAGTCAATTTCTCTTCTAAATATGCCCGCTGGCAGCTCCTCCTGCCCGACTGACTGCTCCCGGCCCGCGCGGCGTTCAACACGCACATCTTCGTCAGCTGAGACGCACTTCACCTTTGGCAAGCCCGGAGCGAAAACTTTGCATGGCTTTGCTAAATGCTAGGTCGATAGCAAACAAAACGTTCCTGCTAAACGACTTCTTCACCTCTCGTGAACTGGATTTATGTTTCTGACGGAGACCTGGGTCCACGCTGGCGAGTATACACCGTTCTCTGAACTTCTTCCTCCTGACTGTACATTCTTCAGCTCCCCCCGTGCCACTGGCCATGGTGGGGGCATAGCATCAGTGTTTAGAGCTAACCTCCAATGCTGATTGCTTCACCCTGTAACTAGCTATGCCAGCTTTGAGTTGCAGCTTTTTGAACTGAACCCGGCGTCGCCTATACTCTGCGCAGTCGTGTATCGTCCGCCAAAGTGTAATAAGGATTTCATAAATGACTTTTCTGACTTTCTGTCCGGGATCATGGTGAAATATGATCGTGTTTTGATCTCCGGAGACTTCAATGTCCATGTGTGCTGCGAGTCCAAACCTCTGGTTAGGGACTTTTTAAATCTCCTTGATTCCTTTGGTCTCGTTCAGTCCGTGGCCCAACACCCGAAAAAGGACACACTTTAGACTTAGTATTATCGTTTGGACTGTCTGTATCTGTGGATGAAATCTGTGCAGCAACGCGTATCTCAGACCATTTACCGGTTCTGTTTACAACCTCCATCCCTTCCGCAGGAGTCGAATCACGTGCCCCTGCGCATCGTCTGCGTTCGATTAACCCCTTGACTGCCTCACAGTTCTCTGATGTTTTTAATGCTTCTCCGATCTGTAAATTAGATGTGAACTGTGCTTTTAATGCTGATGAGCTTATCTTCATGTTTGACTCGACATGCACACTAATACTGGATTCTGTTGCTCCTTTTACGCTTAGACGCACCAAAGTTATATCAGAGCCGTGGCTCAATGACTGTACTCGTGCTCTCAGACGCGCTTGCAGGCGTGCAGAGAGAAAATGGAAAAAGGATAAACTCCATGTCTCCCTAGAAATCCTTCGTGCTTGCCTTTCTGACTACCAGACGGCAGTCAAAGCAGCCGAAACAGAGCACATTTCTCTGCTAATCTCCAAAAACAGCCATAAACCTCAGGTTCTTTTTAATGTCCTCAACTCTATCATTAATCCCTGTGATGTTTCTTCTATTGTGCCATCGACTACTCTCTGTGATAAGTTTCTTACATTTTTTATTGAAAAAGTATCTGCTCTTAGGCTAGCCCACACTAGTGCTACCCCAGATCCTGCTCCTTTTCTGTGCCCTGCTGTCCTCGACCACTTTGAGCCTGTATCCCTCTCTTCTCTCTCGGATGTAGTCAAGCACCTGCGGCCGACAAACTGCACCTCAGACAGCATTCCCTCTCGCCTTCTCAGAGATGTTTTTGATTCAGTTGGAGCAAGTATTTTATTACTTATAAACACCTCTCTTACCTCAGGATGTGTCCCAGCTGCCTTCAAACATGCCGTGGTTAAGCCACTACTTAAAAAGAAAAATCTCGACCCCTCCATTCTCGCAAATTTTAGGCCCATCTCCCAGCTACCTTTTTTATCTAAAGCCCTGGAGCAAGTAGTCTACGCCCAGCTGCAGTCTTTTTTAACCATCCATGGAATCCATGAAAAGTTTCAGTCTGGCTTCAAACCCATGCACAGCACTGAAACAGCCCTTTGAAGAGTTTTTAATGATCTGCTCCTGGCCGCCGACTCAGGTAGCCCAGCTGTCCTGGTGCTGTTAGACCTGACAGCTGCCTTTGACACTGTGGACCATAGCATCCTGCTGTCACGGCTTGAACAGTCCGCTGGCATCACAGGCTCTGCCCTTGCATGGTTCAGGTCCTACCTGACAGACCGTAGCTTCTCAGTGCAGCTAGGTGCCTTCTCCTCTGCCAAAGCCCCTCTTACCTGTGAGGTTCCCCAAGGCTCGATTTTGGGCCCCATCCTTTTTCTACTGTACATACTGCCCCTAGGTTCAATTCTCACAAAACACAACATCCCCTTCCACTGCTACGCCGACGATGTACAGATCTATCTGCCACTCAATTCAAATGTTAACTCATTACAGCTATTGATGGACTGCTTAGCAGAGATCAAATCCTGGCTGAGCCAACATTTCCTCAACCTCAATGAGAGCAAGACTGAGGTTATCTTTTTTGGACCCCAACCTCTAGCCTCCCAGGTTGATATTCTGGGCTCCCTCAAAAATAATATCCTCCCCTCTGTCACGAACCTTGGAGTGACCTTCAATAGCGCTTTAAAATACGACGATTGGCCAAGACCAAGTCGTTTTTATCGTTTGAGGACCTGGAAAAGGTTATTAACGCCTTTGTTACCTCGAGGTTGGACTACTGCAACGCTCTGTACGTGGGTATGGACCAGGCGTCAATTAAACGCCTGCAGCTAGTCCAGAACGCAGCTGCACGTCTACTCACTGGCCACAAAAAGCGTGACCACATCACCCCAATTCTGGCCTCACTGCACTGGCTTCCAATTCGGTTCCGAATTGATTTTAAACTCCTTTATTTGTTTTTAAAGCGCTAAATGGGATGGCTCCGGCCTATATAGCTGAACTCCTCCAGCGCTACACCCCAGCCAGAGCTTTAAGGTCTGCTGACCAGCTGCTGCTGGTAGTGCCCAAGACCAGGCTCAAAACCAGAGGGCACCGAGCCTTCGCAGCAGCTGGCCCTCGGCTCTGGAACACTCTGCCCCTCCATGTGAGGTCGACCCAGACCCTAGGGGTTTTTAAGTCTACTCTTAAAACACACTTCTTCTCTCTGGCCTTCTAGTCAGAGCGGAGCACGACTCCTGACTTTTCCTTGTGTTTTTTATATATCTGTTGTAATTTATTGTCTTTTATTGTGATTATAGAAATGTGTTTTTATGTGATCGTAGTTATTACATGTACAGCACTTTGGCCCGACCAAAAATCGCTTTTAAATGTGCTTTATAAATAAACCTTGATTTGATTTGATTTGATTTCAATATAATTGAGGTGCTTGCAAAATATATTTTTCTATGCTCAAAATGTTTCATTGCGTGCTCAGGATAGAGGCACAAAAATAACGCCACAATATGACAGTGTTTTGTGAGATGACGTAGAGTCAACACAAAGACCCAGATCCGTGCCATTCAACACGAAGGAAGTGAAGATGTTAAATTCATGTCACCTGCGTATTCGTGCAGCGTGAAACATTTCAACTTGAGTGTAAAGTTAGTGACGCTCTGTTACAAAAACCTGTCAGTGTTGAGATGGTGCTCCTGTGGTCTCTGACGGTCTGAGGGGAACCAGAGAGGAGAACAGAGCTCTACAGCAGCTCATATTCAATCAGGGTTATTCATGTTCCTGTATAAACCAGAGACTGTCTGTGGTGCTAACAATATACTCACTGCTGTACTTATGACTTCATGAAGTTACTCTGAGTGAGGATGGAGCAGCTAATGTTAGCCTAGCTTTAATCAAACCGGTCTCATTCTATGCTCATTGTGTTGGAGACAGACCTGACAAAGCATTAACTCAGGCTTTTTACAAATCAGTTTCATTCTGTTGTTATTTAGGCATCCTTTCCATATGTTTATTGCTATTAATTCACAGCAGATTCTATGCAAGTTGTGTTTATAGTGTACCAGGTTCATACAGCTGTGTGTAGATACAGGGAACATGTGCTCCTCTGGGTCATGAATCCAGACAGGATGCTCTCTGGTTTTATGATCATGTGAATTGAAAGCTATCTACCTGATCACAAGGGTATATTATATAGACCTTTTTTTAAATATCAAACTAGAATTTGCCCCCTTGTTGTACCTTTGGTGAGAATCAGCTCCTCTAAAGTAAAGTGCTATAAAGGATGTGTTCATCTCCACAGAGGGAAGAGGAAGAGTGGTGTTCCTGTGGAGGAGCAGCTGTCCAGCTGTGCTCTGTGTCAGGACGTCCTGAAGGATCCAGTCTCTACCAGCTGTGGACACTGGTTCTGCAGACAGTGCATCACCTCATACTGGGAGCAGAGACCTCCATCAGGAGACCCCTCCTGTCCCCAGTGTGGAAAAAGACCCAGAACCAGAGCTGGCCTGCAGACAGCCAGTCAGACCAGCTCTGTACGAGGTAAGAGGCCGAAGCGTCTTATTCCTCTTCCTGGTTCATTTGTTTGTTTTATTAGGTATTCTGTTGAAGAGCATAGACATTAATGCTCAATGCGAGCACATTTTATCTTCACTCCACTGGCTGCCCGTTCATTCGAGGATTCATTTTCAAACTCTTTGATTGACTTTTAAAGCCCTCAATGGCCTGGCCTACCTCTCTGAGCTGTTGCACAGCTACACGCCCACTCACACTCTCAGGTCAGCTGATCAGTTGCTCCTGAGGGTGCCAAAAACTAAGTCAAAGCGCAGAGGGGACCGTGCTTTCTCTGCTGCCGCCCCTAAACTGTGGAACGACCTGCCCTTGCTAATCAGACAGGCTCCCACACTGTCTGTTTTTTTAAAACCCACCTCTTCTCCTTAGCATTCGGAACCAAGTAGATTGTTGCTTTTATTTTATTTTATTTTATGGCTGTTTTTAATATTATTTTTCTAATTGTTACGTTTATTCTGGTTTGTTTTGTGTTCGTACCTTTTATGTGATTTTATACTTATTGTATGTTTTGTGAGCTGAGCTGTGTGATTCTATATTTTATGTATCTCTCTGTACAGCACTTTGTTCTGGAGGTTTTAAGTGCTTTATAAATAAAGTTGGATTGGATTGAATTTAAATGTTTATAAAACATTTAAACTCATTCTGTTTTTATTAGTTTTATTGTTAGATTCTCAAAAGCATTTTTCTCATTCTCTCATGTTTCCTTCTCTTCCAGCAGATAGTGGTCTGCAGGAGGTTTTAGATGAACATAGGCTCAGTCTGAGGAGGAGATGTGAACGTGTGACTGAAGGAACTGATCAAAGTGAAACCCTCCTCAACAGGATCTTCACTGAGCTCTACATCACACAAGGCCAGAGTGAAGAGGTTAATACCCAACATGAGGTGAGGCAGCTGGAGACAGCTTCCAAGAAAGAGACCCTCCATGAAACTCCAATCAAGTGCCAGGACATCTTTAAAGCCTTACCTGACCAACAGACTCACATCAGAGCGGTCCTGACCAACGGAGTCGCTGGAGTTGGAAAAACCTTCTCAGTGCAGAAGTTCACTCTGGACTGGGCCGAGGGTTTGGAAAACCAAGATGTCAGTCTGGTGATCCCGCTCTCCTTCAGGGAGCTGAACCTGATCAAAGGTGAGCAGTACAGTCTTCTCAGGCTGCTCCATGTTTTCCATCCAACCTTACAGAAGGTCACAGCAGAGCAGCTGGCTGTCTGTAAAGTGCTGCTCATCTTTGACGGCCTGGATGAAAGCAGACTTTCTCTGGACTTCAGAAACAATGAGGTTGTGTCTGATGTCTCACAGCAGTCCTCAGTCAACGTGCTGCTGACAAACCTCATCAGGGGGAAGCTGTTTCCCTCGGCTCTCGTCTGGATAACTTCCAGACCTGCAGCGGCCAATCAGATCCCTCCTGAGTGTGTGGACAGGGTAACAGAAGTACGAGGCTTCACTGACGCCCAGAAGGAGGAGTACTTCAGGAGGAGATCGAGTGATGAAGAGCTGTCCAGCAGAATCATCTCTCACATCAAGAGCTCCAGGAGCCTCCACATCATGTGTCTGATCCCAGTCTTCTGCTGGATCACTGCTGCAGTTCTGGACCACATGTTGACTACAGACCAGAGAGGAGAGCTGCCCAAGACCCTCACTGACATGTACTCACACTTCCTGCTGGTCCAGACCAAGAGGAAGAAGCAGAAGTATGAAGAGGGACATGAGACGAGTCCACAGCAGCTGACGGAGGCTGACAGGGAGGTTCTTCTGAAGCTGGGGAGGCTGGCGTTTGAACATCTGGAGAAAGGAGACATCATGTTCTACCAAGAAGACCTGCAGCGCTGTGGTCTTGGTGTCACCGAGGCCTTGGTGCACTCAGGAGTTTGTACAGAGATCTTCAAAAGAGAGAGCGTGATCTTCAAGAAAACAGTCTACTGCTTTGTACATCTGAGCATTCAGGAGTTTCTGGCTGCAGTCTACATGTTGCACTGTTACACCAACAGAGACACAGAGGTACTGAAGGACTTCCTGCAGGGAGACTGGCCCTATGAGAACAGTAAAAACAGTGATCAGGATTACCCATCCCTGGATGTCTTTCTAAAGGGAGCCATGAAGAAATCCCTCCAAAGTGAAAATGGCCACCTGGACCTGTTTGTCCGCTTTCTCCACGGCCTCTCTCTGGAGTCCAACCAGAGACTGTTAGGAGGCCTGCTGGGTCGCACAGACAACAGACCAGAAACCATCCAGAGAGCCATCAGAGGCCAGCTGGGTCGCACAGACAACAGACCAGAAATCATCCAGAGAGCCATCAACAACCTGAAGGAGATGAGAAGTGATAAAATCTCTCCTGACAGGAGCATCAACATCTTCCACTGTCTGACAGAGATGAAGGACCACTCAGTACATCAGGAGATCACAGAGTTCCTGAAGTCAGAGAACAGATCAAAGGAGAGACTCTCTGAGATCCACTGCTCTGCTCTGGCCGACATGCTGCAGATGTCAGAGGAGGTTCTGGATGAGTTGGACCTGCATAAGTACAACACATCATATGAGGGACGACTGAGACTGATTCCAGCTGTGAGGAACTGCAGAAAGGCTGAGTAAGTCCAGATGTGATTAACTTTATAAACTAATGTTAATCAGGAGTTTAATTATTCAAATAAACACTATAACATTTCTGCTGTTTAAATACTGAGAGAGCAAAATAAAACCAACACTGTTCTTCTATTTATTTATAATAATAGTTCAACTGAACCGTGTCTCTCTTCATATTGAGTGATGGAGGTGACATGTCAAACACATGAAGGACTTTAGAGGTTCCTCAGCATGTGATCACACCACACAGCAGGACTTACAGTTATCAGTTATTATTACTTTCTAGTAGTTTCTTTATCATTAAACACACACGATTTGATCACAATGTGTTAGAGTTTAAAATAAGATCTATATCATATCCCACCAATAACAGAGTTATGTCTTAATGCTCATATAGTGAGAACATCTGATGGTATTCAGTTTAAAATATTGAAACTTTATTGGTTTGTTAATTGTGTTTGCGTGCGCAATACATTTCCAGATGCTCAGAGAAGACAAAACATCCATCATTCACATCTAAATATTAATTAACATTTGAATATGTACATCTCTAATATTGTGATTTATTTAATTTCTGTTTCTTTGGTAACAGTCAGTGACAGCAGGAGCACAGACATGTGATCAGATCACACTGACAACACATTACACTCTATTATCATATATTATTATATATAAAATGGACTAACAGCAAATCTCAATCAGAACATATGTCAAATGTTTTTTTCATCAAATGCTTGAGGTCATTATGTTTCCTCTTTTTTTAACACATGTTGTAATATATGTGTTATTATAGACTTACTAACTGTGGACTCTCAGAGGCTCACTGTGAAGTCGTGGCCTCAGCTCTGAAGTCTGACCCCTCGCATCTGAGAGATCTGGACCTGAGTGAGAACAGACAGATGAAGGATTCAGGAGTGGAGCTGCTGAGTTCTGGACTAAAGAGTCCAAACTGCAGACTGGAGACTCTCAGGTCAGTTCACTGACTGAACTTCATCTGTTTGTATTTATCATTTTCTGAATTTGAACAAATACATTTAAATTATTTTTTCCATTTTTGCTAATGACTGCATATTGATCAGAATAACAAACAGGGTTCCCGCGGGGTCTTAAAAAGTCTTACATTTGATAATCAGATTTTAAGGCCTTAAAAAGTCTTAAATTTGATTAAAAAAAATAAGAAAGGTCTTAAATATGATTTAGAAGGTCTTAAAAATGATGGGATTTGAAAGGTACTTCTGTGTTGCGATCGCATCTAAATATGTTTTGGGGGAAATGTCCGGGCTGCAAAGTAACCAGTACGGTAAGAGCCTTTCAGTTCCCCCCAACAATTTGTATTGAAATTTTATGAAAATTTGTTTCCCCCGGCCCCTTATCGGAGAACATCCAGCTAGTAACCTAGCAACAAAGCTTCAGCTAGCGGCAGTCAGGAACTAAGGTATCTTCGAATCTACTTACAAATAAATATGGGGAAGTGTAAGTTTAACCATATTTGGTTGTAAAACATCGAATGTAGTGCTTGGTTGAAACCAGTGGAGGGGAACGTGTTTGAAGCCCGCTGCAAGTCATTGTAAGTCATTTTCCTTCATACTTTCTTGCCGTGAAATAGGTTTTAAATTCTGTTCAAAGTGGTCTTAAAAAGTCTTACATTTGAGTTGGTGAAAGCTGCAGGAACCCTGAACAGAGAGAAGGTGAATGTGTGAGGGAGGGTGTTTGAGCTTCCTCACTCTGTGCTCCATGAGTCAGTGGAGATGCTGTCAGTACTGATGAGCTGTGAGGGAGATGAAGGAGTTGTTAAACATCTGATCAAAGTTAAAGTTCCAGATTATCAGTGGATTGTTTCTGCATCATCTCTGACATTAACCTGTTAAGCCCAAATCCGCCTTCTACCATCTCAGAAACATTGCCAGACTCCGTCCCTCACTCTTTGACTCAGTGGCAGAAACACTCATACACGCCTTCATCACATCCCGTCTGGACTACTGCAATGGAGTCCTGTCCGGGGTTCCCAGCAAAGCCCTGGCCAGGCTCCAATATGTCCAGAACTCTGCCGCCAGGCTTCTCACCCGCACCAAGCCATGGCAACACATCACCCCCGCCCTCATCCACCTTCACTGGTCAAGTCCCGGATTCACTATAAAACACTCCTCCTCACGTATAAGTCCCTCCATACCCTCGCCCCCCAGTACTTAACAGACCTACATCCCTACACCCCCTCTCGGAGTCTGCGGTCCTCCGACACGGGCCTGCTCTCCATCCCCCGCTCTCGCCTTCGTACTGTGGGTGACAGGGCGTTCAGTGTTGCGGCCCCCACCCTCTGGAATGCACTTCCTCCTGAGATCCGGAATGCTGCCTCACTGGACATCTTCAAATCCTCACTAGAAACACACCTGTTCACCGTGGCCTTCGGACCCTAGCCCTTTCCTGGTCCCCCGGCTTCCTTTATTTTATTTTATTTTGTTCTTGTTTTGTTCGCTCCTCATTGTCTGTTTTGTTTTGTCTGTCCACCATGTACAGCGACCTTGGGTCCCGTGAAAGGCGCTTTATAAATTCCATTTATTATTATTATTATTATTAGAGCTAGACTGTAGCTTCACTCTAATGCAAAACTGCATGCGCAAAGCCCACACCTTTTTGTTTTCACAATGAGTGTGTGTGGGGGACTCCCCCTTCGATTCTATTGGCTCTAACGGTCAGAAAGAGGTGTCAACCATCAAAATCGACCAATGGGTTCCAGAGATATGAAAAAACAACAATTTCCACCCAAATGACCTCAGAGGTGGGGTGGTTTTGGCTAAATCTCTCTAAAAAGGTCAAATGTCACTTGTTTTGCATCAATCTTGATACAGGGTACTTATTATATGTTGTACTTTGGATTCCTAAAGCTTTTAGTCTACTAACCCATCATCCAAGGGTAGTTTTCACTATAAGTAAAAAAGAATTTTTGGACGGACACTATAATTTACAGTTTTTTACTATGTAAAATCTGAATTTTCTTTAAAATAAAAAACATCTATATTGATTCTGACTTTTCTACATCCAACTCACAGCTTTATCATTACTTTGAGAAAAAAGATTATTAATTTAACCCTTTTAGAAGGGAAGATATGGTCATTTGTTCTGGAAATGTCATTTTCGAGCCTGAGACCAGAAAAACAGGCTCAAGGCTTAACAGGTTAAAGGGGACCTATCATGCAAAAGTCACTCTCTGATGTCTTTTCTACATCACCATGTGTCCCCAGTGTGTCAGGAGACTCACAAAGTGATGTCTTCTCTACATCACCATGTGTCCCCAGTGTGTCAGGAGACTCACAAAGTGATGTCTTCTCTACATCACCATGTGTCCCCGGTGTGTCCCCGGTGTGTCAGGAGACTCTCAAAGTATCAGGAAATAAACCCCTCTCTCTTTTCCTCCGTACCCACATCTCTAAAAACGGGGGAACAACGGAGCTGATCCAGATTTGCTGCGTCATGACGACATTACTAAAATGTGGGCGGGCTTTACACCCACGGGCCAATCAAAAAGGTTGCTGTCAGAAACAATGAGACGTGTTCTGGAAGTAATATGGTCTGTGTTTCCATTAGCATGCTAACACTCAGAGCTAACCTGTGCTGGAGAGAGTATGTGTGAAGAAGCAGGAAATCAAAAGGAAGTCACCTTGTGGTAAACCTGAGAGAGAGAAAGAGTTTGAGCTCCATACTGTTTCAGAGAGAATCCTTGATGTGGTTTGGAACATGATATGGAGTTTCATCACGGCAGCATTTAGCTGAGTTTCTGCTGCTAGGATTCTGATCAGGCATTAGCTCCCCCTCCTCTTTTTTTATTTTTCAAGCTAAGGACCCGAACCTGCTCTTCTCTAACAGCTGGAACAGAGGGATATGAGGGATTTCTAAAATGTATTATCTATTTGGTATTTTGAGCAAAACACATCATAGACATGTTTTTTATGTATTTTTATATATCTGAGACCCATAATATAATAAAGATAGCATGATAGGAGACCTTTAATACCTATTTAACTCTGAGCAGAAAAAGGTTCCCCACCCCTGTTCTACATAATTAACTTAACATTAACATTCTTTTATTCATACTTTCATTTGTAGCTACTAAAGTAAGAACTGCAGAGATAAATGTTGTCTGATTCTTAAAGGAACTGTAATAGATGTTAGTTGTAAAAAGTAAATCTATGACTTCTGGTGAGGCACGAGGCTGATGGCAGCAAGATACTGAGCGCTGAACAAAATCCCCCCTTTTTTCATATTTATTGCAACTCATAGACAGTAATAACACACATTTGAGTTAAGATATGTCTTCAGCAAAGAAGGATAAGGCTCCGACAAAAAAACAAGAATCTAACAGACAACAGCAAGCTAGCGATTCACCCGCCGATATAGCTATGCTAATCAAGCAAGCTATCGCAGATGAGATGGAAACTCTGCAGGGAACAGTAGCAGACATGCTAAAGGGTGCGATTGAGAAGGCTCTCAATCCTATAGAGAAGCACTTGGTCGAAAACGGCAACATCCTCCGGTCATTAAAAGAACAAGCTGATGGAGAGATACACAATATCAATTGAAAGTGAGCTCAAAACAAAGCAATCAGAACTTAACGATCTATTAAGACACAGGGCAGAATATATGATCCATATAACCAAACACAAGTATTATGCAGAAGGCAGCAGACCAAGCCACCTTTTGGCATTAACTTTAAAACAACAAGAGGCTAAAAGGACCATACCAGCAATCAGATGTTATAAACGCGGAACAGTATCTTCTACAGAGGAGATAAATGAAACATTTAAAAATTAATTTAAATAACTGTATTCAAGTAGCTCAGTTCCTTCTGACGAAGACTTCGCCAAATTTTTTAGCGGGTTAGGCCTCCCTACATTATCATTAGATGACACCAAAACACTGGAGTCACCTATCACGCTGGAGGAGCTATATAAAGCTGTCAAAGCTACAAATAAGGGCCGTACGCCGGGTATAGATGGCATACCTGTGGAACTCTATTCAACATTTTGGGATATAATTGGACCGGTATGGTTAGAAACACTTAATTATGCTACCAATAAGGGCATGTTCCACAAAGACTTAAATACGGCTCTGATAACGGTTATACCCAAACCTGGAAAGGACCCCTTTGAATGTTCTAACTATCGCCCAATATCACTGATAAATGCTGACCTCAACATTTTTTCCAAGGTCTTAGCTATTAGACTTGAGACGGTGGTTGGGAAATTAATAAGCCCTGATCAAACAGGCTTTATTAAAGGGCGGCTCGCATCTGATAATATCCGCAGACTCCTGCACATTCTTGGCGCAACACATACAATTCCACCTGCCTGTGGCCTTTTGTTTTTAGATGCTGAAAAGGCGTTTGATCGCCTGGAATGGCCATATCTATGGAGGGTTCTGAAATAATTTAAATTTGGAGATACATTTATAAACATGATTCAAACATTGTATGCGAATCCTACAGCTCGAGTATGTGTGGGAGGAAGCTTCTCCGACTTATTTGACATAAAACGGGGTACAAGGCAAGGAGACCCTCTGTCTCCTTTAATTTTCAATTTATCCATCGAACCACTGGCACAATTCATTAGGAATTGCCCTCAGATTTCCCCCATCACAATAGGTGGAACGTCACATTCTATATCACTATATGCGGACGATACATTAGTCTGTATGGCAGATGTTCAGCGAACCCTCCCCTGTGTCTTAGAAGTAGTGGAGCAGTTTGGGCAGCTTTCGGGATACAAGATTATCCTATCAAAATCAACACTGATGCTTCTTAACATAGGCCAAAGTGAGGTGTCCCTCCCACCCCAAATCAATGTTTCAAATGAGGTCCTCTATTTAGGTGTTAAGGTTAGTACTTCCTTATCATCTATAGCTAAAACAAATTACTCTTTAGTTTTGAAGAAAATAGAAGAAGATATTACAAGATGGAAACACCTTCCAGCATCAGTCCCAGCCCGTTTATCGGTTGTTAAAATGAACATATTACCCCGCATACATTTCGTAAGCTCAATGGTCCCTCTAGCACCTCCAACAGGATACTGGCAAAAACTAGATTATTTACTACGATGCTATGGGGTGGGTGGGTGGGATGTAAGAAAGAGGGATGGGATTGAATTAATCCAAAATGTTGTGCAACCTGAATTGTCTTCTGTACTGTGTTGTAAATTGAAGATGTTGCAATAAAAAATGTATGATAAAAAAAAAAAGTAAATATATGTTTTTAATATTTTGTAAACAATAACGTCTGAATAATATTAGTTTTACAGGATAAAGTTTACTTTCTGAAGAAGACATATTTTTTTGTTCCCATTCATTTAAATGTTGAGTAACATCTGATTATAAACAGATTTGTATCCTCATCATGTTTTCTTTATTCAGACTGAGGGACTGCAGTTTGTCAGAGATCAGCTGTTCTGCTCTGGCCTCAGCTCTGAAGTCCAACATCCATCTGAGAGTTCTGGACCTGAGTGAGAACGCTCTGAAGGATTCAGATGTGAAGCTGCTGAGAGATCTTCTGGAGAGTCCAGACTGCAGACTGGAGACCCTCAGGTCAGTAAGGGGTCTCTGCTGGTTCAGCAGTATTGTATGAAACACAGGGAGGTGTTTCTCTCTCTGGGGAAACAGATCAGTGATGTTACCCACTGACTGCAGGCTCTCTCATTCTTCCATCAACTACAGAAGGCCAGCTGAACCTGCAAAGCCACACTTTAGTAATCAACTCTCTAACAGACGGGGTTTTACAGAAGAGTGGGAAAGGTGGTCTGTTCTTATGGGATGTTTTTAGTTTCTAGACCAGGGGTGTCCTAAGAATTCTGAAAGTATAATGAAATATGAACCACAAATGAAACTTGTGCTTGTCTTATATTGTACTTCTTAAATATATATGTACACATATATTACTCAGTAGTATTCATGTGTTAATAATCCCACTTTTAAAATAAATTCAGTCATTAAAGCTGAAAACATGTTCTAACAAATCTAACTTAATAAGAAAAAAGCCCAATAACTTATTTTTATAACAAGCGTGAAATAGACCTTCATATTTCCTGTGATTATAATCAATCTGAAGATCCTGCTTTAAGGAATGAGCTGCTGACAGAATAAAGTGAACCCTCTGGAGAGCTGGGAGCTGTTGTTTCTTAAAGGGGACCTATCATGCAAAATGCACTTTTTTACGTCTTTTATACATAAATATGTGTCCCCGGTGCGTCGGGGAACTCACGCAGCGTCAGAAAATAAAACCCTCTCTCTTTTCCTCCGTACCCAAATCTTTTAAAAACGGGGGCACAACGAGCGGATACAGATTTGCTGCCGATATGAAGTAATTTCGGATGGTGGACCCACAGAAAGTTGCTGTCAGAAACAATGCCTGACGTGTTTTGGACATAATCTCGTCTTTGTTTACATTAGCAAGCCTCGCTAACACTCAGAGCTAACCTGTACTGGAGAGCACATGTGTTTAAAAAGCAGGAAATATAAAAAAGAACTCACCTTGTGATAAACCTGCAAGAGAAAAAGCATTTGAGCTCCATACTGTTTCAGAAATAATCCTTGATGTGGTTTAGAACAGGATGGCGTTTTATCACAGCAGAATTGAACTTTATCTCCGGTAGAATTCTGATCAGGCATTAGCTCCCCCTCCTCTTTTTTCAAGCTAAGGACCCGAACCTGCTCTTCTCTAACAGCTGGAACTGAGGGATATGAGGGATTTCTGAAATGCATGATCTGTTTGGTATTTTGAGCAAAACACATCATAGAGATGTTTTTATATATTGTTATATATCTGAGACCCAGAATATATGCCTAAAGATAGCAGATAGGAGACCTTTGAAACCCTGTTTGACTCTGAACAGATTATTAAACCTGGAGTTATTTCAAACAGGAACTTTGTTTTCTAAACTTACATCATGTTTTCTTTATTCAGACTGTGGAGCTGCAGTTTGTCAGAGATCAGCTGTTCTGCTCTGATCTCTGCTCTGAAGTCCAACATCCATCTGAGAGTTCTGGACCTGGGTTTCAACGCTCTGAAGGATTCAGATGTGAAGCTGCTGAGAGATCTTCTGGAGAGTCCAGACTGCAGACTGGAGACCCTCAGGTCAGTTCACTGACTCTCTGTTACTGCTGGAGATCTCATGTTTCATTAGATATTCATCCTGATTCTTCTACATCATTAACTTACATCCATTCAGTTGTAAATGTTGTTTTATTCATACTTTCATATTTACGTACTAAAGTAAGAACTGCAGAGATAAATGTTGTCTGATTCTTGAAGGAACTGGAATAGTTGTTAAAAGTAAATCCATGTTTTTAATATTTAGTAAACGATAAAGTCTGAATAAAGTTCATCTGAAGTAATATTAGTTTTACAGGATAAAGTTGACTTTCTGAAGAAGACATATGTTTTTGTTCCCATTCATTTCAATGTTGAGTAACATCTGATTATAAACTGATTTGTATCGTCATCATGTTTTCTTTATTCAGTCTGAGGAGCTGCAGTTTGTCAGAGATCAGCTGTTCTGCTCTGGCCTCAGCTCTGAAGTCCAACATCCATCTGAGACATCTCAACCTGAGTGAGAACGCTCTGAAGGATTCAGATGTGAAGCCGCTGAGAGATCTTCTGGAGAGTCCAGACTGCAGACTGGAGACCCTCTGGTCAGTAAGGGGTCTCTGCTGGTTCAGCAGTATTGTATGAACCACAGGGAGGTGTTTCTCTCTCTGGGGAAACAGATCAGTGATGTTACCCACTGACTGCAGGCTCTTTCATTCTTCCATCAACTATAGAAGGCCAGCTGAACCTGCAAAGCCACACTTTAGTAATCAAATCTCTAACAGACGGGGTTTTACAGAAGAGTGGGAAAGGTGGTCTGTTCTTATGGGATGTTTTTAGTTTCTAGACCAGGGGTGTCCAAAGAATTCTGAAAGTATAATGAAATATGAACCACAAATGAAACTTGTGCTTGTCTTATATTGTACTTCTTAAATATATATGTACACATATATTACTCAGTAGTATTCATGTGTTCATAATCCCACTTTTAAAATAAATTCACTCATTAAAGCTGAAAACATGTTCTAACAAATCTAACTTGATAAGAAAAAAGCCCAATAACTTATTTTTATAACAAGCGTGAAATAGACCTTCATATTTCCTGTGATTATAATCAATCTGAAGATCCTGCTTTAAGGAATGAGCTGCTGACAGAATAAAGTGAACCCTCTGGAGAGCTGGGAGCTGTTTGTTTCTTAAAGGGGACCTATCATGCAAAATGCACTTTTTTACGTCTTTTATACATCATGTGTCCCCGGTGCGTCGGGGAACTCACGCAGCGTCAGAAAATAAAAGCCTCTCTCTTTTCCTCCGTACCCAAATCTTTTAAAAACAGGGGCACAACGAGCGGATACAGATTTGCTGCCGATATGAAGTAATTTCGGATGGTGGACCCACAGAAAGTTGTTGTCAGAAACAATGCCTGACGTGTTTTGGACATAATCTCATCTTTGTTTACATTAGCAAGCCTCGCTAACACTCAGAGCTAACCTGTACTGTAGAGCACATGTGTTTAAAAAGCAGGAAATATAAAAAAGAACTCACCTTGTGATAAACCTGCAAGAGAAAAAGTATTTGAGCTCCATACTATTTCAGAAATAATCCTTGATGTGGTTTAGAACAGGATGGCGTTTTATCACAGCAGAATTTAAATGTATCTCCAGTAGAATTCTGATCAGGCATTAGCTCCCCCTCCTCTTTTTTCAAGCTAAGGACCCGAACCTGCTCTTCTCTAACAGCTGGAACAGAGGGAAATGAGGGATTTCTAAAAGGCATGATCTGTTTGGTATTTTGAGCAAAACACATCAGAGATGTTTTTATATATTGTTATAAATCTGAGACCCAGAATATATGCCTAAAGATAGCAGATAGGAGACCTTTGAAACCCTGTTTGACTCTGAACAGATTATTAAACCTGGAGTTATTTCAAACAGGAACTTTGCTTTCTAAACTTACATCATGTTCTCTTTATTCAGTCTGTATTTCTGCAGTTTGTCAGAGATCAGCTGTTCTGCTCTGATCTCAGCTCTGAAGTCCAACATCCATCTGAGAGTTCTTGACCTGGGTGGGAACAATCTGAAGGATTCAGGAGTGGAGCTGCTGAGAGATCTTCTGGAGAGACCAGACTGCAGACTGGAGACCCTCAGGTCAGTTCACTGACTCTCTGTTACTGCTGGAGATCTCATGTTTCATTAGATATTCATCCTGATTCTTCTACATCATTAACTTGCATCCATTCAGTTGTAAATGTTGTTTTATTCATACTTTCATATTTACGTACTAAAGTAAGAACTGCAGAGATAAATGTTGAGTGATTCTTGAAGGAACTGGAATAGATGTTAGTTGTTCAAAGTAAATCCATGTTTTTAATATTTAGTAAACGATAACGTCTGAATAAAGGTCATCTGAAGTAATATTAGTTTTACAGGATAAAGTTGACTTTCTGAAGAAGACATATTTTTGTTCCCATTCATTTCAATGTTGAGTAACATCTGATTATAAACTGATTTGTATCCCCATCATGTTTTCTTTATTCAGACTGAGGAGCTGCAGGTTGTCAGAGATCAGCTGTTCTGCTCTGATCTCAGCTCTGAAGTCCAACATCCATCTGAGACATCTCAACCTGAGTGAGAACGCTCTGAAGGATTCAGATGTGAAGCTGTTGAGAGATCTTGTGGAGAGTCCAGACTGCAGACTGGAGACCCTCAGGTCAGTAAGGGGTCTCTGCTGGTTCAGCAGTATTGTATGAAACACAGGGAGGTGTTATATCTCTCACAGGCTCCGCCCTCTACTGGACTCTATGGGTACTACCTTATCATGCAAGCATTCACCTACTGAAATTTCTATAGACGTAGCCGGCCCCGGGGCGGGCCTACCTGAATGCGTGCACATCTCACTTCCCTATAAAAGGAGGCCTCGCCTCCTGACCACCATCCTTTACTCTTCAGCGAGCGGAGGTGGTAACCTAGCACTGAGTCCGAGACGTACAAGTGGGAGAAAGGAAGTAGAGAAAGAGAGAGATATTGTGAAAATGGAGCCACTCCTGGAGCATCGTAGTTGCCCGTCGTGTCTTGGACTGATTGCGGGAGCAGACCCGCATCGTCAGTGTTTCCAGTGCCTGGGACAGGATCATGCTGAGCAGGGAGCAGGCCAGACACCGGCCTGTGTTTCCTGCTGTTCGATCCCGATGCTAAACCGCCGGCATCGTGCGGAGCACTTCTCGAGGAAGTTCGGCCCGCAGGTGCGCGGAGAGGAAGAGGATGTGGACCTCGAGGTGGTGGACATGGACGACCTGGAGGACGTGCCGTCTGAATTCGTCCTTCCGAGGGACCGAGTGTTCGACTTCGCGGAGGAGGATGACGACATCTCCTTGTCCGACACCCCCGGGTCCGACAGCCAGGAGGGCCCAGCACTCAGGTCTGCGCGACTGGACTTCCCAGCGGTGATGACCCAGGCAGCGGAGCGTGTAGGCTTACCGCTCCCCCCACCGCTGCCACCGAGGCTTGTAAGCCGCCTTAGGCAGGGGTTTTACGGCCCGGTGTTTCCGGCGCAGCCGGCTTTCGCCTCGCCCCCGTTGCCAGACATCTGGCAGTGTGTGGAGGCGACATGGCGGCGTCCATTGAGGACGAAGGCCGCCATAGCATCCATGTCGGGCATTATCAGGGTGCAGGGCCGATCAGACACGGTGTGTTCTGGCGTGCCCCCCCTCGACGAGAGCCTGGCGGCCCATCTGTTGCCACGATCAGCTGGTTGGGCGGAGGGGAAGAAACCTCTGCCCCCGCTGCCGCGGGACCGGGAAGCCTTGGAATATTTGGATAAAATGTTCAGGCTCGGTTCACAGATGGCGGCTGCGGCTAATAATCTGGGTGTGTTGGGCGTCTCCTTGATTACTCCTCGAGCAGACGCCCCCGCTCTCCCGTCTCAGGACGGGGATGATTATCCGGACCGCTGCATAGGTCAGATGAATAATCTGATCCATGGAGTGGCCACCGCAGCCGGGCGGGTGATGTCCTTAGCCACAGTGGCGTCTCGTCATGTGTGGCTGGGACTCACCGCGCTGCCCAAAAAGGACCGAGCAGATCTCCTTGGAGCCCCCGTTTCCCGTTTCCCCGTCTGGAGGAAGAGAGGCTGCAGCTTAGCCACATGTTGCCGCTAGCTTCTCCCCAGGTGTCACAGCGTCCTCCGCGGGCGGCGGAGCGCAGTGCAACGGTGAGACGGAGGGAGAGACGCCGGTACGAGGGTCCCGTGCCGGTAGCACCCTCCGCTTCTTCAACCAACCCCGTGGGGCCAGCGTACCGGCACTCACGGGGGCGGGCTGCCCGGCCACGGCAGTCTCAGCAACAGCAGAGAACTGCCGGGTGGGGAGCTCCGCCAAAACGCAGCTGACTGGCGGAGGGAGGAAGTGTCTCAACGGGTCTCTCCACCCAGGACGCTAGGGTGAATCCCACCTCCTCCCTGTTCAATGCCCAGGTCCCTTTTATTAGGAAAACTAATAAAGAAAAAGGTGATCTGTATCCAAGTCTGAGTGTCATGTGTTTTCACAATCCTGCACTCACACACATTGTTGACTGTACATATTCCCCACTCGCTACCCCGGTTATTTCTCCTGTAAAGGAGATAGCTAGTGGGCATGCGCAGATGAGAGAGATAAACCGCAGGAAGTGCTATAGTAGCGCTATGCGGGTGCAGGGGCTTGCTAGTCGGCGCATTATGGTTAGGGAACACACTACGCCTAGAATAAAGGCTCCAATTAATACAGTTTACCGTAGTGGTAAGAGCTGCATTATGGCGGAGCTCGCGCTCTCTCAGGAGCCCATGGTGTGTTCAGGGACCTCAGGTGAACACATTACGTCAACAAAAACTCCGGTTAATGCTGGTTACCATGGTAATGAGAACAGCGTTAGGGTGGAGCGCGCGCTCACACAAGAGCGCGCGACGGTGTGTTCAGGGACCTCAATAAAAAATCGGCCCTTTCTGTGTCGACCCTCCATGGGCAAATCTTCCTTTCACGGGGGATTTTGCGGCGGAACGGGTCACCAGAGAGTATCACAGCTTTATAGCTGCGGCCCCACAGCTAAGGGCTTGTCCATTAACTCAATATTATGGGGAATGGAAACTCAGCTGTGTACTGTCAGAGTGGATGGACAGGACGCTGAAACGGGGTTATTCACTCCAGTTTTGCAGCGTCCCACCTCCATTCAGAGGCATGCGAGAGGTAATTCTATCATCCCAAGAGGAGATGGGTTTCCTCTCAACAGAGATTCAGGCTTTGGTGCAGAAACAGGCAGTGTCTGTGGTGCATCCTCAGCAAAAGGAAAAGGGTTTTTATTCCATGTACTTCCTGGTTTTCAAGAAGACAGGGGAATTCAGACCTATTCTAGATTTGCGCAGCCTGAATCTTCACATTTGCCGCAGGAAATTTCGCATATTAACTATCAAACAGTTAATGGGGCTAGTGCAGCCGGGCGATTGGTTCACCACCATCGACCTGAAAGACGCATACTTTCATGTGGAGATTGTGCCAGAGCACAGGAAGTATCTGCGTTTTGCCTTTCAAGGGATAGCCTACGAGTACAACAGACTCCCGTTCGGCTATTCCCTATCCCCACGCACATTCAGCAAATGTGTGGCCACAGCGCTTCAACCGCTGCGCGCCCAGGGCATGAGAGTTTTCTTTTACATAGACGACCTCATAGTCATGGCTGGGTCCCGGGAACAGGCAATGTTTTGCACAGCACAATTGATCACACACCTAACCAAATTAGGCTTTGCGATCAATTGGGGAAAGAGCACCCCCATACCTCGCCAACAGGCGTTGTATTTGGGAGTGGTGCTCGATGCAGACGCGCTACGTGCCACCCTGTCAGAGAGCAGACGTGCGTCCCTTCTCCGGGCGGTTCACAGGCTGCGACAGGGGGCAACAGTGACAGCTTTAACTGTCATACAGACTCTGGGTCTCATGGCGGCTGCTCACGTTGTGGTCCCATTGGGGTTACTGCATATGCGCCGCCTGCAGAGGTGGTTTTCCAGTCTGCGTTTGGATCCCAAGAGGCACAAACGGCGGCTGGTGACCATCCCCCCCTCAGTGGAGGGCAACCTCCGGTTCTGGGGGTCTCCCGGGCACCTCCGGAGGGGGTCTCCACTGGGGCGGGTAACCTCCTACATCACAGTGTTCACGGACGCATCCAGAACAGGATGGGGAGGGACCTGCCTGAAGAGGGCTATAGGTGGGCGCTGGTCTCTAACAGAAACACGACACAGCAACCTCCTAGAGCTACGGGCGGTAGTGTTAGTCCTCCAGCATTTCATGCCCCTAATTCAAGGGAGACATGTATTGGTCAGGAGCGACAACAGCACCACAGTGGCTTATATCAACAGGCAGGGCGGAGTCCGCTCCGCCGCCTTGTTGGCCACAGCGGAGAGGCTGTGGTTATGGGCATCAGAGGTGGTATTATCTCTGAGAGCCCTCCATATTCCGGGACTGGAGAACAGGGGGGCCGACCTCATGTCGAGGGGCGGCCCCCTGCCAGGCGAATGGACGCTTCACCCGGAGGTGGTGAAGCAGATCTGGGCCCAGTTCGGGAGAGCAGAAGTGGACCTGTTCGCCAGCCGGCGCAACAGCCACTGTGCCCTGTGGTTTTCCATGGCCCTGAGCGACGACCCGCCCTTGGGGGTGGACGCGTTTGCACACGAGCCATGGCCAAAAAAGCTGCTATACGCCTTTCCACCGCTGCGTCTCATTCTCCCTCTCCTGGGGAGAGTGAGGCGAGAACGTCTGGCAGTCATTCTGGTGGCACCGGATCGCGTCGGGGCTCCGTGGTACTCAGAAATGACATAGATGAAGGTGGGCCAGCCCTGGGCGATTCCCCAGTTCTGGGGGGCGATGTCTCAAGAGGCAGGTGCAATCGGGGCGTTACCCACTCTGGGCCGTCCTCTTCAGGCTTGGCTCCTGAGAGGGACAGGCTGAGACAGGGTGGATTGTCTGACAGCGTTATTCAGTCTATCCAGGCAGCTAGAGCAGAATCCACCACAGCCTGTTACAGGCCGAAGTGGTTGAGATTCCAGCATTGGTGTGAGGAGTGGGGAATAGAGCCCCTATCTTGTGAGTTGGGCTCTATTTTATCCTTCTTACAGTTACTGGTGGACAGAGGGCTTGCTCATTCCACAGTGAAGGTGTATGCAGCAGCCATCTCGTCCTGTCATGAGGGATTCAACGGCAGGTCAGTCTTCTCTCATCCACTGATGTTGCGGTTTTTACAGGGGGTTAGGAGGCTGCGCCCGGTAGTGCACGCCTCCGCCCCACAGTGGGACCTGCCGCTGGTGCTCGAGGCTTTGGTCACGGGGCCATTTGAGCCTCTTGAGCTCTCCTCCCTGAAAGCACTGTCGTGGAAGACAGCGTTGCTACTTGCCTTAACGTCAGCCAAAAGAGTGTCCGAGTTAACCGCTCTGTCGGTGCACCCGAGCTGTTTGTTGATTCGGGGTGACCAGAGTGGGGCGACACTCAGACCGAACCCCTCCTTTGTGCCCAAGAGCCTAAGGAGTGAGTTCAGGTCGAGGGCTATTCAGTTGGGGGGTTTTAGTCTTCCACCCCATGGGGGGGCTAGAGAAGCTAAATTACACCTCCTCTGCCCGGTGAGCGAGTTAGCATATTATGTAGAGCGCACAGCTACCCTGAGACGCACTGAACAGCTGTTTGTGTGCTTCGGGGGCGGGGTGAATGGAAAAGCTCTGTCCAAGAAACGCCTGGCAGGCTGGCTTTGTGAAACCATTGCACACGCCTACAAGCAGGCAGGGAGAGCCTGTCCCATGGGGGTCCGTGCGCACTCCACACGAGCTGTGGCTGCATCAGCAGCCTTATTCAGCGGTGTGAGTGTGGAAGATATATGCACGGCGGCGTCTTGGTCAACGCCAGGCCCCTTCATAAAGTTTTATCTCTTGGATATGTCTGGCTCTTTCTCAACGTCTCTGCTTGCTGTGGCAACACAGGACTGGTGAGGAGGGGGGGGGGGCTGTGGATCAGTGGGCATCTGACCCCCTCCCCGGGCGTAAATGCGCTTACATTTCTCCGGACCCCTGGAGGGTCGCGGGGTGATGTAATGCGCTCTGGGCCCTTACAGGGCTGAAGGGCTCCCCTCGCCTGCCAGGGGGCAGGAGGGGGAGAGCCCTCCATATTATTGTCCCTACACACTCTGCACAGGGTCAGTGGCTGAGTGGGGGGACGTAGGGGGCACTTGCGTTCTCCCCGTGCTCTTTAGGGACTCAGGAGGGAGAGTGCATAGTGAACCCATACAGGGCTGCGGACTTTCCCTGTCTGCCTATGGGCAGACGTAGGGGAGTCCTCAGCACTATTTTTGAGCACACTTTTTTGCGAGGCAAGCGCGTCAGGGTGTGCTCTATCGGCCGCAGCCCGGACTTCTCCACGGTTACAACCGAGGGAGAGGTGAGTGAGGCGCAGTGGCTGCTAAAGCCGGTCAGGGACAGTGAGGTGGAACGGTGTGCTGGACGACAGTGCGTGCATACATCGAGGCTCCGCCCACTGTACCCATAGAGTCCAGTAGAGGGCGGAGCCTGTGAGAGATATAACGTCGGGTTACGTATTGTAACCCTTGTTATATAAACACAGGCGGAGCCCTCTACCTTGGGGGCACTGTCTGTCCTATACCGCTCGCTGAAGAGTGGTGTAGGATAGTGGTCAGGAGGCGAGGCCTCCTTTTATACGGAAGTGAGATGCGCACGCATTCAGGTAAGCCCGCCCCGGGGCCGGCTACGTCTATAGAAATCTCAGTAGGTGAATGCTTGCATGATAAGGTAGTACCCATAGAGTCCAGTAGAGGGCTCCGCCTGTGTTTATATAGCAAGGGTTACAATACGTAACCCGACGTTTCTCTCTCTGGGAAATCACAACAGATCAGTGATGTTACCCACTGACTTAGGGCTGGCCCTAGACATTTTGGTGCCCTAGGCGAGATTATGATTTGGTGCCCCCCCCCCCCCCCCCCCCCCCCCCCCCCGCCCCTCCAAGCAATACACAATAGAATATATAAAGAATAAATGTAAAATCTCTACAAAAGGTCTCCCTTGAAAAAGAGATCTCTGATCTCAATGGGACCAATCTGGTTAAATAAAGGTTTGAAATTAAATGAAAAGACCAATACACTACAAAAACTGAAACGTATTGACATGTTGGTTATATACATAAAGAAGGTTTCAAATGTATTCATTATTGTATGAACATGTTTTAATTGGCTGGGGGACGTCACTGGGGTATGCCCCCCCGGAAAGATTTTTTTTTAACATTTTAAAGTAAAATGCTTCAATCTGGTGCACTTTGAGCAGAATGACTAGAGACCTGATCTAGGGGGTACAACTCTAAACACCCATATGAAGAAGATCGGTTTGCATTTTAATAACCAAATAAGTATATGAACATAACCAATAACCTACCATAGCCAATAACAAATAAATGTAACGTATCTTATTTTACCTAGTTAACATTTATTTATTCATGCGTTTTTTTTTATATCTCCAGTTTTAAACAATATTTTTGGTTTACTGTCCTATAGTATGCATTGAAATGATTTCAAACCTGTTTTTATTTATCCTAATAATTATAAAGTTGTGCCTTGGAAATATTTGTTTACATAAATTGTGATCAAACCGTTTGAGACCCACTGAGATAACTTAGAGCAGGGGTATTCAAATACAAATCTTAAAGGTCCAAAGAAAAGTTTCAATAAGACAAAGGTCCGTTTATTACGGTCATTCAAACTTTTAAACAATTGCAACAAGATTCTTAACACGAGGTTGCAAAAACAAAAATAATCTGTATGCAGCAGTTTTCATTGTTATTGTGTCTGTGCTTGATCCCTCAGAGTCTCAGTGTAAGAGCTGCACAGTTATGAATAAAGGCAGCTGCACCCTCTTTCATTCAGCATTCCCATTATTGCTTTATAAATGTCTTGCCCCCTTGTGTGTCCACTGAGGTTCGTCAGGCCCAACACATCTTCAACAAACTCCCCCTTTGCCTCATCATAAAAACTCACAAACACCAGCAACTGAACATTGTCAGTGGTGTCAGTGGACTCATCCACAGCTAAGGAAATGCACTGTGCATTTTCTATTCCATCACAAAGCTGATTCATCAAATCACCAGCCAGTATTTATGTTCTTCTGGTTGCTGTGGAATCTGAGAGGGGGATTTGACCTGTTATTTCCTCTTTTTGTTTGCCTTCAAACATGGTCTCCATCTAATTATAATCAATCTGAAGATCCTGCTTTAAGGAATGAGCTGCTGACAGAATAAAGTGAACCCTCTGGAGAGCTGGGAGCTGTTTGTTTCTTAAAGCATCTTCAAGTAACAAGCATCCTTTACCTTCATGTGAGGTTTCTGACTTATAACTGAACTCATGAGGCAACATACCTCTAGAGAGCGGCCCAGACCTTTATATATTTCTCTGTATGTGGCCCTCGGTGAAAAAGGTTTGGACCCCCCTGTTCTAGACCAATGACTGGTTACTTCCTGTCATGCAGCTGAGAGCTGTGGCAGGCAGTCGTAGTGTTTGCAGGGAAGATATGATGGGATGTAAAGCATGAGGTCAGGACTCTGAAGCTGACTCAAAGAACTAACACTTATTTAAACTGGATCTAAAACTGTTGGATTGTGTTCATCTCTACAGGATCGGAGGATGGGATGATGAGCCGATCAGAGCCACGATCCAGAAGACCTGTGAGTACTGAAACCATATCCTCCATTCATCAAGATACTAAACTCTTGAATGGAGCATGACCTCAGAGGAAAACAACACTCTTCTTTCTCTCTTCATCATTCTGGCTGTTTCTCTGTGTTTTATCATCATCATCATTCTCTCTCTCTCCCTCCTTCTCCTCTCAGGTGACAGGAAGTGAAGACACACAGAAAGGTGAGAGGTCGTACCGTGTGAAGTTTATTTATTGAGGTTTCATCACTTAGTTAAAATGTAGTTATTGCTCAGTGTGTTTCTGGTGTTCCAGACAAATCTGCAAGCTCAGGTTTGATTTGTTCTCAGTTTATTCATCACGGGGCGAGTTTGAGACGTCCAGAGGAGCGTGGAGGCATTTTGGAAAATAAAGAAGAAGACTGCAGCTGATGAGAGACTTCCTGTTAGCTCTCCTCAATATGAAATGAACAAAAACAATCAATTTAAAGCTTTTCTTAAGTACAGCTCTCAGAGGAATGAACAAGCCCCGCCTCCAACGCTGTATCCAGTTCTTATTAAACATCCATGATGCACGCATACGGATGTTTAGCATCCAGACATTGATCACTAGCGTCAGTACAAATACATCCAGACATTGATCACTAGCGTCAGTACAAATACATCCAGATATTGATCACTAGCGTCAGTACAAATACATCCAGACATTGATCACTAGCGTCAGTACAAATACATCCACACATTGATCACTAGCGTCAGTACAAATACATCCACACATTGATCACTAGCGTCAGTACAAATACATCCAGACATTGATCACTAGCGTCAGTACAAATACATCCAGACATTGATCACTAGCGTCAGTACAAATACATCCACACATTGATCACTAGCGTCAGTACAAATACATCCACACATTGATCACTAGCGTCAGTACAAATACATCCACACATGGATCACTAGCGTCAGTACAAATACATCCACACATTGATCACTAGCGTCAGTACAAATACATCCACACATGGATCACTAGCGTCAGTACAAATACATCCAGACATTGATCACTAGCGTCAGTACAAATACATCCAGACATTGATCACTAGCGTCAGTACAAATACATCCAGACATTGATCACTAGCGTCAGTACAAATACATCCAGACATTGATCACTAGCGTCAGTACAAATACATCCAGACATTGATCACTAGCGTCAGTACAAATACATCCAGACATTGATCACTAGCGTCAGTACAAATACATCGTACTGTTTAGGGATATTTCACAGGATTATCACGAATCTAAAAGCTTGTCTTTGTGAGAAATTCAATTTATCGATCTGAAACTTTCTCTCCCTCTTCTTCTCATACTCTCCTTTAACTCCCTGCGCTCTACTCCGCAGCCAGAGTAGGGTGAAACGCGTTACTGTTATACATTCAGTAATCACACTATAGTTACTAACATTGCGCGAAACAATGACTAGATTCTCCCTTTGACAGACTAGACTAGTAGCTACTACATTATTCAGAAGTGTACAGTAACTTTGGATAATAACACGGCGGGTTCAATAAGCGGAGCCTCTCTCTCTCTCCTGACAGCCCGTCTGTGTCTCATGCAGCTCGCTGATCCAGTAATGAGTGACCCAACATGACAGTAAATAATAAACATTTATAACTAGTTTAGCTAGTTCCAGGGGTAGATAAGATCATACTTGCCAATCCTCACGATTTTGGCGGGAGACTCCCAATTTCACTGCCCTCTCCCGGTTTCCCCCCGGGGTCATATTTCTCCCGATTTCTGACAAAATCAGATTTACTCACGACTGTTTCCACTCTGACTTTAATACAGCTACACCATTGTTTGGTTTCCATGATGAGGTCCAGCCCCCACATATGCTCCATCAAGGATGGTGCTACAGGCCGCAACTACAATAAGCATGTTAATGTTATGGTAATCTAACAGCTCCGGCGATCATACTTGCCAAACTTGAGACCTCAGAAATCGGGAGCATTTCCAAAACCACAGCGGGGGGGGGGGTGCTAGTGGATCGCCGGAGCTGTATTAGATTAACATTAACATGCTTATTGTAGTTGCACTGCCTTGCGGCCTGTAGCACCATGCAGGAAAGGAGTGAGCAGAGGGTCGAGTTGTTGATTCTTGTTCTGTTTTCTGTGACTATCTTCCTCACCCTCTCAGACTTTGAGTTGCGCGCGCTGCTAAAGACGCGCTACCATGGAAACCAAACAATGGTGTAGCTGTATTAAAGTCAGAGTGGAAACAGTCGTGAGTAAATCTGATTTAGTCAGAAATCGGGAGAAATGCGGGAGAAATATGACCCCGGGAGGAAACCGGGAGAGGGCAATGAAATCAGGAGTCTCCCGCGAAAATCGGGAGGGTTGGCAAGTATGCCGGCGATCCCCCCCCCCCGCGATCCACTACCTGTGGAGTCTATTTTTATATAACATTAGAAAGACTGTTTCTTATTATTACATTATAAGCTTATTGTGCTCATTGTATGTGGCTGTGACTTTGGAATAAATAGACGCAATCACCAATCCCAAGGTTTCATGGATTGGAAAGGAAACGAAGGGAAAAGTCAGAGAAGAAAGTGTTTAGCTTGCAATATTGAAAGTAGCAAGGTGGAGTGCAGAGACTGAGAGAACACGAAGAGGTAGTCAGAACAGCACATCGCACCGGCCTTGACTTTGTATGGGAGCCGCGCTCCCCCGCAAAGCTAGGAAGCAACATTATGGTTTTCCACTATATCTGAAGAAACGTTAGAGAAAACAAATGACGTATGATAGAGACAGAGTAGGGAGGGACTTCCACAGGCCGGCCGAATGCTGATTGGAGGATCGTGTTGCCAAGAGACTCTATCTGAGTCTGTGCACCAACCAAAGAGAACCAAGTCTAAACCACGGTTTCTCTTCAGCTAGTCTTGACCAATCATAAATGTACGGGCAACGCCCTGTGTAATCAAATGTATTGTCGCACGAGGTTCGAGGCTCTTGACGGATTTGGTGGTTACAGATTACAGCTTTGCTGATTCCCAAAGACGTGATGAGTCCTTGGCCAAGTCATATATATCTTTTGCTCTCTTTTAATAAATAATGTCTTCCTTATTGCAATAGTAATTGTTATATGTGTGCACATGTAGGCCTAACTTTTAAGTTTTGGCTAGGCTGTTGCTGAGTAACGCAAAAGTAATGTAAAGAGTAAAGAGTTACTTTATGTAGAGAGTAATGAAGTAAAGTAATATATTACTTCTTTTGAGTAAGGACCCATCACTGTCCGCAGCAAACAGCTGTTTGATGGCCTCACGCTCTCGAGAGGAAAACGTCACACAGATGACCCATCATGCCTCTCGAGAGCGAAAGTACCGTACGTAGCATTCACACTTGAGTTGTTCTTAAGCCCCTCCTCCTGTCGTGAAGCCACGTTATTCGGCCACGCCCCCTATCTACCGCTCTCGGCTCTGTCAGATTAATGGAGAGGGAAAATATCTCTGGATTCATCTTTTAGTGCATTTTATCACTTTTAGACCCAATGATTTAAATAAGGGCTATACACGTTTAGGGCTGGGTGTTTGATTTAGCTCAAAATATATTATCAGCTGATTTACAGACGTCTCTTTCCCAATGTAAGTCAATGGGCCCATTGACGCCTGTTTGTTATTAAGTCTGTTTGTTTCTGTAATTAATCATTTGTGATTCTGTCTTTAAGTGTGAGATCACCCCCTTTTGAAAAGTAAAGTATTACAATAAGTGTTTCGCATTAGATTCAGTGAATAAATGAGAGCTGTTTCTGATGGGTTTCCATTTCCTTCTGTATTAAATGTAAAGTTAGCATTTATTAAAGCATTCAAAGTTACACAACAATCTCAGGATCACTGCGTGGATTTTTCAAATGTTTCCCTCATCAAGACAATTTGAAAACCAAGAACTTTACAACAAAGTATTTTGAGTGTTCTGGATTGAAAGAGGGTCGTGGCTCCTGGTGCTTACAATATGATTAAATATGAGGCGGGGGTTTACAGGACTGATTTTCTCATCTGGAGACCACAACACGGAGCACACGCCCGAGTGTTTCCATCAAAGAGCACACACACACACACACACACACACACACACACACACACACACACACACACACACACACACACACACACACACACACACACACACACACACACACACACCACACACACACACACACACACACACACACACACAAACACAAATGAAGAACTCCCAGCGAATCTCGGTAAAGAAATATGTATTAATTTGTTTGCCAGCTCAAAGAGTCTTATTGTTAAGCCGGAAATGTTGAGTACCTCAAAGTTTAATGGCAGGTTTAACCAGAAAGTGGCTATATGTGTACCTCCGGGTTGGCTGATTTTGATGAACTTGGGGTCAATTTGAAGTTTTAGGGGACTGAAAACGGCAATTTTTCCTCAAAGAAAATTCAGAAATGGATTTAGCATCCCCAAAAATCTATGATTAGCTATTGTCTGCATGTGCTAATGAATGCATCACATGTTTCAGACTTCACACACATCTCTCTGACTCAACCACGGCTGAGGTGGAAACTGCAGAACTCGTCTCACAGACCGTTATATTGTAAACTCAATTTGTTGTTAATGAGCAGAGTCGGTGAAGATGAAAGCAGGGTTAAAGTGAATCAGACGGACACAGAGCAGCCTCTCTTCAGACTCCTGCTTCAACTTCCACACATAATCACATCTAACGCTGTGAAGTTAGTGTGGGAACCAGCAGAGCCTGAAGCCACTCGGTACAAACACTCCGCTGCAGGGGAAGTCCTGCAGAAAGCACTGGATTCAAGAAGGTAAAAGTATGTTGTTGTTATTTTTGGGGCAGGGAAAGTTTTTTGAAAAGTATTATTACGGACAGCAAAAGAACAACTCCTGGTATTAGTATAGATGCTAAGAAGAGGATTAGTGACAGGGTTAGTGGTGGTCTAATGGATAGTGAGGTGGGCTGAAGCTGAAGATTGGAAGGTTGTGAGTTCAAATCCCGCCAGGAACACCACCACTAGTGTGCCCTTGAGTAAGGCACTTAGCCTTCAGTTACTCCAGGGAGAATGTCCCTGTAATTGTAAGTCGCTTTGGATAAAAGCGTCAGTTAAATGAAATGAAATGTAATGTAATTAGGGCAACATGAAAAATACATTTTAGAGATGTGACAAAAAGTCAGGATTCTGAAAAAAAGTTTAGATGAAATAAACCTTTTTTTCAGAATCTTTACTTTTATTCAGAATTCTGACTTTTTCAAAATTGTTGACATTTTATTTTTTTCCAAATTGTGACTTTTTCTCAGTCTGGACTTTTTGCAGAATTCTGACTCTTCAGGCTGTCGGACTCAACCTCAGTGTCTATTTTTTATTGTCTGTTTTCTCAGAATTGTGATTTTTTCCCCTCTAAATTCTGAGATAAAAGTCAGAACTCATGATTTTTTTCCCCCTCTTTGTCACATCTCCAATTATACGATCTTTGTGTTTCTCCTTCTCCCTGCGAGTGAGCCCTCTCGCTAACAGACGATCCTCTCCTCTGCTAACCCTCTCAACAGCCGGTGTCTCCATGGATGAATTATAGGATATTTTAGGGGTGTTTTCTGCTTCTCTCCGCCGCAGATTCTCGCCGAACACTCGGATGTTTCTCCCCGTGTTTCCTTCCTGATGAGCGGCCCGGAGGCTGTGATCCCAGCGGCTCCCGGAGGATGGAGGGGCTGAGCGGGGCCCGGCTCCTCGGCCCGGTGCTCCTCCTCTCCTCTCTGGCGGCTCTGGTGAGCTGCCACCCCGGGACCTGCAGGCACCAAGCCCCGCCGCCCGAGGAGGTGAGACCCGGTGTAGCTGCCATGCTAACATAAGTAGCTGCAACACAATTGAAGCTTACGGGAGGAGCTAACTAGCACGCTAGCTGCACTAGTGGCTAACGGATTTGTTTATATTGTGTGACAAGAAAGCTACTTTAATGTGTCCCTGCTGTTTGACAACCACTCGAGCCTAACCTTATAATGATTATGATTAAATTACTTACATTTTATACCATTTATTCATTTGTTTTTGTGTTATAAATTCAGTTATCTACCGGTTAAATTAGATGTTCTGTACAGATAGCTACCATGCTACATAAGTAGCTGCAACACTATGGAAGCGGAAGGGATAAGCTAACTAGCATGCTAGCTGCAGTAGTAGCTAACGGATTTGTTTATATTGTGTGACAAGAAAACTACTTTAATGTGTCCCTGCTGTCTGACAACCACTCGAGCCTAACCTTATAATGATTATGATTAAATCACTTCCATTTTATGCAATTTATTTGTTTGTTCGAGTGTTATAATTTCCGTTATCTACCGGTTAAATTAGATTTTCTGTACAGTTAGCTACCATGCTAACATAAGTAGCTGCAACACAATGGAAGCGGAGGCGATAAGCTAACTAGCATGCTAGCTGTAGTAGTGGCTAACTATGGGATTTGTTTATATTACATAGCATTTAGCTGACGCATTTATCCAAAATGAGGTTCAATAAGTGCAATAAACCATAAAGATTCAAACTAAGAAGAACAAGAACAGTGTAGATATATTCTCTACAAACAAGATCCTTATTAGTGTTTAACTAATAGTGTAAATATTGTGTGACAAGAAAATGACTTAATAATAAATTGTATTGAGACGCTTTATCGAAACAGTGAAAACATCACTTTATTCTGTCCCTGTTGTTTGACAGCCACAAGAAACAGACCTGATATGTATTAGGGTTAAATTAAACATTTTACATATTTATTTTTGTGTTATAAATGCAGTTATCTATCGGTTAAATTATATTTCCTGTACAGTTAGCTCCCATGCTAACAGGCTAAGCCCACTCTCTCCTGTTTCTCATTTTTACATTTGAACAGAACTTGAATCTTAAATGTAAAATAAGTAGCTTAAAAGTCCATATAAATGCCATGTTGTTTAGCTGCTGTACTTTCCTATTTATTCTGAGTTTAATGACGACACCAACATTATTTGTGGGGAACATTTAAACTGTAACACCAGGAGTGAATCTATAGAAATACTCTGATTGAGTTCTATGGCTTCACCATTTATTCTGTCCTCTTTAAGCCTGGTTACCATAGCAACCCCATAGCAACAAGAACATTAATACTTCCTAAAAATAAAATAGAATTTGACTTTTTTCAATATTTGTATAACATTTGTTGTATTATATTTAATCCCATGTATGTTTATATGAATGTGTATTGTATCTCTTAACACCAGGTGGTCCATCAGGTTCACCTGAAGCCTGAGCGGCTGACGAAGAGGAGCTCACCTGAAGACCTCCAGCTGCAGATTGAGATCATCTACGACCACAGCGTGGACCAGTGAGTCCTGCAGCAACACACACTCTGCAGTCTTTACATTTCATTCATCAGGTTTCCTTTGAATATTTGTATTATATTTAGGGCTGTCAAGTTAACGCGTTAATAACGTGTTAACGCACAAAAACATTAACGCCACTAATTATTTTAACGCGATTAACGCATGTGCATTTTTTGTCCTCGGCTGCCCTGTAGATTCAGAGCGCATCAAGTTTAAAATACCATCTATCCAATCCAAGCACACTGCTGATGCAGACAGCCCCGCTCCTGCCGCCCGCTTGTGGCAGACCACACTTGAAAGTGTGCGGGGGAGACGCCTGGACACGTCTACGAGCAGCAAACTTTCAACAAAGATCGCTAAATGGGTGGCTACAGCTTGCAGGCCAATTAACATTGTGGAGGACGAGGGGCTGCGTGATATAATTCGGGTCGCATCCAACGACTGCACTTATGAATTGCTTCCAGAGCCACCACTGTGTCGACAATACACAACTTGTATGAAGTCCAGAAAGCGAAAGTAGAGGAGGATTTAAGAAAGACTTCCACAGTTGCGCTCACTGGAGACTATTGGACTTCACTCAGTAATGACAGTCACCTCGGGGTCACAGCGCATTATTTTGACCCACAGTGGGAACTTCAGTCTCATGCTTTGACAGAACGAGGAGCGGCATTTCGCCGACAACTGCGCCGACACACACATAGGCCTGTCACGATAATTAGGGCCCGAGCACGAACACACACACACACACACACACACACACACACACACACACACACACACACACACAGGTTGTTGTGTTTAATATTCAGGTGAATATTTGTCATTGTTGAAATGATAATAAACAAACATTTGCATAAAGCATATTTGTCCACTCATATGTTGATAAGAGTATTAAAAACTTGAAAAATGTCCGATTAATCGCGATTAACTATGCAGGTGGTGCAACTATGGAAATATTTTAATCGAGTGACAGCCCTAATTATATTTAATTAATTTTGTATCTTATATTTATAAAATGTTTTTTATCATCACGATCTACTGTATATTCTCTACTTCTTAACGCTGCTTTAATTCTATTGGAGATGTTTAAATTCTAGTATTGTTTATTCCTACTCTTTAGTTTCTACTCGTGTGCAGTGTTTTGTTTTGTTGTTTTTTATGCTGCTGCAACGCAAACATGTCCCAATTTGGTATCAATAAAGTACCTCCAACCTAAAGGCGCATTTCCACTACTCGGCCTCGCTCGGCCTCGCTCGGTATGGCTAGGCCTCGTTAGGACTGGCTCACTTTATGGCGCATTTCCATTACAGTTTAGGAACTGGGGCAGTATCTATAGTAACGCAGTGTAGGCGGAGCCGTGACGTCATCTTCAATGAGAACCCCAGAAAAACAACACAGCCGTTAGCAGTTAGCACTCAGAGCTCACAGCTCCTCATATCTGTTCAGAAACTAGACAGAAGTTAAACAAGTACAAACCACAGACTGTCTGTGTCATGGTGAATACAGTCGCTGCTTTATTTATGTCTGTATAGGCCGTTGTTCTGAGTGTGGACGGTCGGAGCATATACTGCGTTAGCTTAGCCAATCTCCATTTAGAAAACACACATTTTAAAAGGTGTTTCGCCTGCCGTCTGTCTGCAGACTTGACAAAGCATTAATTCATGGTTTTTACTAACTGGTATCAGTATGTTGTTACTTCATCATTTTGAAACGTGTATTACAATTAAATCACGGTCAAATATGTCCATCTTGTTGTAGTTGTAGCCCCCTTGCCAGCGATGCTCTCTCTAGTTTAGCATACTCGGCCCGACTCAGCCTCGTTGTTGGCCCGGAAAGAACCTCGATTTTATGGGGCCAGAAAAACTGTGAAATAGTACCCGCTAGCCGGTACTACGCTAAGTGGAAACGCAACCAAAAACGGGCCGGGCACGGCTCGGCACGCTTAAAGCGAGCTCCGCGCTGTAGTGGAAATGCGCCATAAGGCCCCGTCCACACGGAGACGATATCAGTTGTATCCGCTAACGTTCTCTATCGTATAGACGGGTCGTCCACACGAGGCCGAAACGGAGCCGTGGCTTCGGAGCCCGAATCTGATAAACTTTGAAACCGGCTCCCAAGGTGGGTAGGTCTGAGGACGACACGCTCTGTGTGTACGCCTTATACGATGACGCCATAGCCCCGCCTCTCCCCGCCTCTCCTGCTCACCCCGCGTCATTGCTGATGCGTTTCGCCAACAACAACAACAATGGCGGATCACAGGGTTGCGTGCGTGCTCCAGACGCTACTGACCATGATACAGATTTTAGTGCAAAATCTACCGTTTGTTTATTCCTTATGCCCATGCTCGGGGGTCTTATTCGCTGCTTTTGGTGTATTTTGTGGCGGAAGTACAGCGCCACCTACAGGCCCGGCATATGTACTACAGCGTCTCCAGCGGGTCGAGCGATCTCATGTGGACGGAAGACTTTAAAAAAAAACTACTACGGTTCGCTTTCGTCTCCGTGTGGACGGGGCCTAAGTCCTTGTCAAATACTATTACATTCAGTATCCGAGCTGTCTCGACTGACAGTAAAGGATGGAGGTTTTAATAAAACCCCTCTCTCTCCCCAGGCTTCCTGCAGACCAGAGGAGGCTGGTGAAGGTGAGCCAGATATCCAGGCGTGGAAAGCCGTTTACAATCGCTTTATAAAGTATTAAAGTATTTTGGGCACTTCAGTTTCAGCAGCAGATGTTTTGTGTTTCAGGATAAGCTGTTTCCTCAGGCCATCGATTACCTGCAGAAGGTGTTCAGCGTCCGGCGCCGTGTCGGCCCGGTTCTGCTCAGCAGGTCAGTCCAGATAGTCCAACTCTGATGCATAATATCATTTTAATATAAGTATTTCTATGCTATTTTATTTCATATTTTTATTGCACAGTCTTACGTTGGCTTATTATCTCTCAGACAATGCTCCACCAATCAGTACCTGAGGAAGAGAGATGACCCTCACAGGTACTGCCAGGACGCCTGCGCTGACCTGACCCGCTGCGGCCCCGTCAGCGTGCCACAGCACCACCTGCAGGTCAGGACGCCTCACTGCACACTGCATATATATAGGGACATTTCAGGCTGCCACAGCACCACCTGCAGGTCATATATATATATATATAGTCCAGATAGTCTATATATATATATATATATATATATATATATATATATATATATATATATATATATATATATATATATATATATATATATATATAAGGACATTTCAGGCTGTTACACTCGAGCTTTAACATATAGGCTATATATTCATTGAGTTTGTGCGCCCTCTTGTGGTCAACACTTTATTTAAAGACACAATGATACACAAATAAAGACAAACACAAATAAGGGTGCGGGTCTCTGTAATACTCTGTTTATATTGTAATATACACATTTATACTTATTTGAATTAATATAAATATTTTATACAATTGTTTTTATAATACTTTTTATTGCAATTCATTTCTTGAACTTTTATATATATATATATAATGTTTGTATCTTTATTTTAGATGAATCTTCATTGGTTAATGCAGGACTTTCACTTGTTGAATGATCCTGTAGTCATTTCAACAAAGCAAAGGATCTGCAGTCAAATGAATTGCGTCTAACTTCATGCCCTCACATTATCTAAAGCACTGTTTCTCAACCTTTTCCCTACGAGTGGCTGACAGGTGTTTCGTTTGTCGATCACGTTTGAACCCGCTTGGGACCACGGCTCTGCTGGGTTTAATTTTGCAGCAACTAAATTGTCTTTTTTGTGAGTGTTTAAGTCAGGGGGGTCCGACTCAAGGCCTCACTTCATGCTGCACCACAAGAGCTCTGAAAGAATATTATACGCTTATTATACGGTTACAGGCCGATTTATAGAAGCACGTTGCCCATAAACTACATGCCCCACAATGCATCTCAAATTTGACTTTTTTCTCAGAATTTGACTTTTTTTGTTTTGATTTTGACTTTTTTTCCAGAATGTGGATTTTCTTTTTAAATCATTTTGTGACATGCGCACTGAAGAGACTTGCAATGATTTGCCCCATACTTCTGCTTTCAGACGTAGTTAATGATGAAGTTATTACCCTATCCCATAATAATCCAATGCAGAGGCAATAATGAAATATAACATCATTTTATATATATTAAATATGTGTATATTTATATAGTCTAAAAGTTACATCCGGCCCTTTGAGTGCAACCATAATGCTGATGTGACCCACCATGAGTTTGCCCCCCTGGTTGGAGTGACATTGGAGGGTTCCTCACGTCACAGTGGAGCTGAATCCCTGAACTCTCTCTGCTTCTCCTTCAGCAATGCAAGGTGTGCAGTGAGTCGGGGAAGTCGTGCGGTCCCATCGGGCCTCCGGACGGTCCCGGGGTCGAGGGGTCGGACTTCGTTCTGTACGTCAGCGGCGTCACAACGGAGCGCTGCGGGCAGGAGAACATCGTGGCCTACGCTGCATACTGCCAGCTGGAGGCAGAGCTCGACAGGTGAGGCGTCCTCCTTCATAAACGGGAGATTTAAAGAGTTGTAGTGCTTTCCTCTCCCCTAATTCCCCGTATGCGTAAACGAACCTGGAGATAAACGTGATTCTGATTCTTTGTCCCTTGTCTTCAGGCCGATAGCAGGCTACGCTAACCTGTGTCCTGCCATGATCTCCTCCCAGCCTCAGGAGTTTGAAGGCATGCTCTCCACCGTCAAACACGAGATCATCCACGCTCTGGTCAGTTCCTCCTCTTCATCTGAAAACCCTCTCTCTGATTCCAATGGGATGTGGAGATGATTTCTGAGGCTCTAAAGGTGTCTCTGAATCAAATCAAAGTATATTTATAAAGCCCAATATCACAAAGCGTGTTTGTGTCAGTGGGCGTTACAGATGGACATATACAGAGAATTACAATACATGATAAAACACAAGATAGCAGGGGAAATACAAACAGAATAGACCGTGAGAATACAATAGAAGAAAGACCATGAGATGTAGGACTCATAGGGTGATCTTAAACCAGCTACTATGGGCTTTATTCACGCTCTTAATAAAACCATTTAGCATTAAAACAGGATGCTAAAGACAAGTATTTACACTACATGTAACTTTACAAATAACCTTAAAAGCTAAAAAACAAAGACACATCTATGAATGATCTTTACAAGCCAAGGTGAGAGATGTGTATTTGCTCGGCCTTGGAGATGGTTTGAAGTGTGTCTCTGAAGTGCATGTTGTTCCTCTTCTGTCCACCAGGGCTTCTCCGCGGGGCTGTTCGCCTTCTACCACGACGACGAGGGGAAACCTCTGACTCCACGCTTCGCCAGCGGCCTGCCCGCCTTCAACGAGAGGTCTCACTATTTAATACGTCTCGTTATTTAAAGCTCACCTATTCTGCAAAATCCTCTTCTTCATGTCCCCTCTTCATCAACATGTGTCCCCTCTTCTTCATGTCTCTTCTTCATCAACATGTGTCCCCTCTTCTTCATGTCTCTTCTACATCAACATGTGTCCCCTCTTCTTCATGTCTCTTCTTCATCAACATGTGTCCCCTCTTCTTCATGTCTCTTCTACATCAACATGTGTCCCCTCTTCTTCGTGTCTCTTCTTCATCAACATGTGTCCCCTCTTCTTCGTGTCTCTTCTTCATCAACATGTGTCCCCTCTTCTTCATGTCTCTTCTTCATCAACATGTGTCCCCTCTTCTTCGTGTCTCTTCTTCATCAACATGTGTCCCCTCTTCTTCATGTCTCTTCTACATCAACATGTGTCCCCTCTTCTTCGTGTCTCTTCTTCATCAACATGTGTCCCCTCTTCTTCATGTCTCTTCTACATCAACATGTGTCCCCTCTTCTTCGTGTCTCTTCTACATCAACATGTGTCCCTTCTTCTTCATGTCTCTTCTACATCAACATGTGTCCCCTCTTCTTCGTGTCTCTTCTTCATCAACATGTGTCCCCTCTTCTTCATGTCTCTTCTACATCAACATGTGTCCCTTCTTCTTCATGTCTCTTCTACATCATCATGTGTCCCTTCTTCTTCATGTCTCTTCTTCATCAACATGTGTCCCCTCTTCTTCATGTCTCTTCTACATCAACATGTGTCCCCTCTTCTTCATGTCTCTTCTACATCAACATGTGTCCCCTCTTCTTCATGTCTCTTCTTCATCAACATGTGTCCCCTCTTCTTCATGTCTCTTCTACATCAACATGTGTCCCCTCTTCTTCGTGTCTCTTCTTCATCAACATGTGTCCCCTCTTCTTCGTGTCTCTTCTTCATCAACATGTGTCCCCTCTTCTTCATGTCTCTTCTTCATCAACATGTGTCCCCTCTTCTTCGTGTCTCTTCTTCATCAACATGTGTCCCCTCTTCTTCATGTCTCTTCTACATCAACATGTGTCCCCTCTTCTTCGTGTCTCTTCTTCATCAACATGTGTCCCCTCTTCTTCATGTCTCTTCTACATCAACATGTGTCCCCTCTTCTTCGTGTCTCTTCTACATCAACATGTGTCCCTTCTTCTTCATGTCTCTTCTACATCAACATGTGTCCCCTCTTCTTCGTGTCTCTTCTTCATCAACATGTGTCCCCTCTTCTTCATGTCTCTTCTACATCAACATGTGTCCCTTCTTCTTCATGTCTCTTCTACATCATCATGTGTCCCTTCTTCTTCATGTCTCTTCTTCATCAACATGTGTCCCCTCTTCTTCATGTCTCTTCTTCATCAACATGTGTCCCCTCTTCTTCATGTCTCTTCTACATCAACATGTGTCCCCTCTTCTTCATGTCTCTTCTACATCAACATGTGTCCCCTCTTCTTCATGTCTCTTCTTCATCAACATGTGTCCCCTCTTCTTCATGTCTCTTCTACATCAACATGTGTCCCCTCTTCTCCATGTCTCTTCTTCATCAACATGTGTCCCCTCTTCTTCATGTCTCTTCTACATCAACATGTGTCCCCTCTTCTTCATGTCTCTTCTACATCAACATGTGTCCCCTCTTCTTCATGTCTCTTCTACATCAACATGTGTCCCCTCTTCTTCATGTCTCTTCTACATCAACATGTGTCCCCTCTTCTTCATGTCTCTTCTTCATCAACATGTGTCCCCTCTTCTTCATCAACATGTGTCCCCTCTTCTTCGTGTCTCTTCTTCATCAACATGTGTCCCCTCTTCTTCGTGTCTCTTCTTCATCAACATGTGTCCCCTCTTCTTCGTGTCTCTTCTTCATCAACATGTGTCCCCTCTTCTTCGTGTCTCTTCTTCATCAACATGTGTCCCCTCTTCTTCGTGTCTCTTCTTCATCAACATGTGTCCCCTCTTCTTCATGTCTCTTCTTCATCAACATGTGTCCCCTCTTCTTCATGTCTCTAATCTGTTTGGTGTTTCAGCCAATCAGAGACAGGCTCTGTATATATATCTGAGACCTGTGATATATTGATGAAGACGAGTACAATAGGGGACCTTTCAAAATGCAGAGAGGAAGGCGTTGGATGGGAAGGAATATTATTAAAACTCAAATAGACGATGTGTTGGCTCCTTGTTGTAGTAACGTTTCCTCGTGTGTGTGCAGCCTGGGTCTGTACCAGTGGAGCGAGGCGGTGATCCGGAGGGTGGTCCGGCTGTGGGACATCAGAGGAGGAGAGACGGTCCGACACCAGGTCCACGTGCTGGTGACCCCCCGCGTCGTGGTGAGAGACCCCAACATCCCCCACCTAACATGTCCTTAGTGCCTCAGAAACTGCCTGATTGCAGTCTCTTAAATGTTCGTATTAAAGTTAATAGACTGTGGCGCAGTGGATAGTGCGTTAGTGTTGGGATCAGGGGAGCAGAGGTTCAAACCCCACTGCAGTCAGCATGTCTGTCTCGAGTTCAGGGCGTCCGAGCTGAATAAGAGCGTCAAATGACGGCTAGACGCCCCCCTGACGGGAACGCTGACTCATGTCCTTAGTGTCTCAGTTTACCAAACTACAGCGATCTCAAAGCCTGCTTGTTGTTCATATCACATTTCACACGGAGAAACATGCAGGAAGTGACTTCTTATGGCAGTATCTTCTGATTTATGGAGCGATACAAAGAGATATCCCTCTGTGGAAACATCTGGCTCTAACATGTCAACAACAAACAAGAACCTGGCTTTATCACATGATCACATTTCTCTGATGGCAATGTTTGCAAATAAACGCATATCTAATAAGAGAATGCCTCATTAGCATATTTAAACATTACTATATAGAAAACTGGAGGATTTGTCTTCGATTGCATTTTAATATTTTTGGAAAATATCTCCTTAAGCTGTGGGAAAATATAACAAGAAAGGAGAAAACAATAATGAAAACTTATCAACATATGTGTCTGCAGGAGGAGGCCCGGAGACACTTTAACTGTCCCATCCTGGAGGGCATGGAGCTGGAGAACCAGGGGGGAACCGGGACGGAGCTGAACCACTGGGAGAAGAGACTGCTGGAGGTGTGACACTCTTACATTAGCCACCTTTAGCTTAGCGGTGGTGACGTGAAGTCATGTGACCGTGCTGTAGTTCCTTTATAGCCCAACATTAGCCACCTTTAGCTTAGCGGTGGTGACGTGAAGTCATGTGACCGTGCTGTAGTTCCTTTATAGCCCAACATTAGCCACCTTTAGCTTAGCGGTGGTGACGTGAAGTCATGTGACCGTTCTGTAGTTCCTTTATAGCCCAACATTAGCCACCTTTAGCTTAGCGGTGGTGACGTGAAGTCATGTGACCGTGCTGTAGTTCCTTTATAGCCCAACATTAGCCACCTTTAGCTTAGCGGTGGTGACGTGAAGTCATGTGACCGTGCTGTAGTTCCTTTATAGCCCAACATTAGCCACCTTTAGCTTAGCGGTGGTGACGTGAAGTCATGTGACCGTGCTGTAGTTCCTTTATAGCCCAACATTAGCCACCTTTAGCTTAGTGGTGGTGACGTGAAGTCATGTGACCGTGCTGTAGTTCCTTTATAGCCCAACATTAGCCTCCTTTAGCTTAGCGGTGGTGACGTGAAGTCATGTGACCGTGCTGTAGTTCCTTTATAGCCCAACATTAGCCACCTTTAGCTTAGTGGTGGTGACGTGAAGTCATGTGACCATGCTGTAGTTCCTCTATAGCCCAACATTAGCCTCCTTTAGCTTAGCGGTGGTGACGTGAAGTCATGTGACCGTGCTGTAGTTCCTTTATAGCCCAACATTAGCCTCCTTTAGCTTAGCGGTGGTGACGTGAAGTCATGTGACCGTGCTGTAGTTCCTTTATAGCCCAACATTAGCCTCCTTTAGCTTAGCGGTGGTGACGTGAAGTCATGTGACCGTGCTGTAGTTCCTTTATAGCCCAACATTAGCCACCTTTAGCTTAGCGGTGGTGATGTGAAGTCATGTGACCGTGCTGTAGTTCCTTTATAGCCCAACATTAGCCACCTTTAGCTTAGCGGTGGTGACATGAAGTCATGTGACCGTGCTGTAGTTCCTTTATAGCCCAACATTAGCCACCTTTAGCTTAGCGGTGGTGACGTGCGGTGCATGCAGACATAGTTGCAACAGATCCATAGGGCCAAATGCAAAGATATACACACATTGGTATTCAGACACATGAGCACGCACAGATTCATCACTTTGCTAAAGAAATGAATGCACACTGTCAGACTGTAAGAGACAACTTTGACATATAGCTTGACCCTTGCTCCTGATATCCTGTGCTCCTCAGAACGAGGCGATGACGGGCTCCCACACTCAGAACCGGGTGTTCTCGCGCCTCACGCTGGCCCTCATGGAGGACAGCGGCTGGTACAGAGCCAACTACAGCCTGGCAGAGCGGCTGGACTGGGGCCGGGGGCTCGGCTGCGACTTCGTGATGAAGAGCTGCAAGTTCTGGATGGACCGGCAGAGACAGAGGTCCGTGAGATCAGAGATAAAACAGAGAAGCTAATATTTAATATTGTGTGTGTGTGTGTGTGTGTGTGTATTTCTATATAGTTTTATGTTTCTAGTTATTGTGCTTTTTTATGTTGTTTTTAATTATTTTTTAATTATGTTACTCCTATTGTGTTATTCTATATTATATGTGTTCCCTGTACAGCACTTTGGTCAACTGAGGTTGTTTTAAATGTTCTATATACATAAATAAATATAGATTGTGTGTTGCAGGCGCTCCTCAGTGACTCCATACTGTGACACAGTGAGAGCTTCTCCTCTGCAGCTCACCTGCAGACAGGACCAGCTGGCTGTGGCCGTCTGTAACCTGCAGAGATACAGTGAGGAGCTGCCACTGGAGTACCAGGTACACACACACACACACACACACACACACACACACACACACACACACACACACACACACACACAGAGACACAGACAGTCACAGACAGTCACAGAGACAGTCAGAGACAGTCACAGACACACACACACACACACGGTCACACTGACACACACACACACACATATACACTCACACATATACTCCACGACTCCACTTTGAGCGATAGAATTACTAACAAAGCACTTATAGTTATAGTTGAGTAGCACTTGAAATGTTTTGGCTCTATGAAACCTGATACTACTACCTGACTACTAATACTGATACTTATGATTCTGTTTTCTTCAAGTTTGTATCTTCCTTGTCGAATGCACTTATTGTAAGTCTCTTTGGATAAAAGCGTCAGCTAAATGCAATGTAATATAAATAAGCATTTTTCCCTGATTCTGCAGAAAGCTGTTTTTAGATATTTTGACGGTTATTCCCTGCGTACATTTTAATTTCTGGCAGTTTGAGTTAATTTCATACCTCTCTATTATACTGCTGTGTGTTGACGTGTGTGTGTGTGTGTGTGTCTCTGACTGTGTGTGTGTCAGTACTTTGACAGCATCCCAGACGTGCCCTCTGATCAGCTGGCGTTGTTCGGGGGGGCAGTGGAGATCGCAGACTTCTGTCCCTTCAGTCAGGAGTTCAGCTGGCACCTGAGTGGAGAGTATCAGAGGAACTCGTACTGCAGGGTGTCCCTCAACCAGCCCGGTAACACACACTTATAACATACACTAATAACACATGAATAACACACTAATAACACATTAATAGCACACTAATAACACAGTAATAACAGACTTATAACACATTAATAACACACTAACACATTAATAACACATTAATAACACTTTAATAACACACTAATAACACAATAACACATGAATAACACACTAATAACACACTAATAACAGACTTATAACACATTAATAACACATTAATAACACATTAATAACACACTAACACACTAATAACACACTAATAACACATTAATAACACTTTAATAACACACTAATAACACATTAATAATACATTAATAACACACTAATAACAGACTTATAACACATTAATAACACATTAATAACACACTTATAACACACTTATAACACATTAATAACACACTAATAACAGACTTATAACACATTAATAGCACACTAATAACACACTAATAACACATTAATAACACATTAATAACACACTAATAACACATTAATAACACACTAATAACACATTAATAACACAGTAATAACAGACTTATAACACATTAATAACACTTTAATAACACACTAATAACACTTTAATAACACACTAATAACACATTAATAACACACTAATAACACACTAATAACACATTAATAACACACTAATAACACATTAATAACACACTAATAACACATTAATAACACACTAACACTTTAATAACACTTTAATAACACACTAATAACACATTAATAACACACTAATAGCACATTAATAGCACACTTATAACACATGAATAACAAACTAATAACACAATAACACATGAATAACACACTAATAACACATTAATAGCACACTAATAACACAGTAATAACAGACTTATAACACATTAATAACACACTAACACATTAATAACACTTTAATAACACACTAATAACACATTAATAACACATTAATAACACACTAATAACACACTAATAACAGACTTATAACACATTAATAACACACTAATAGCACATTAATAGCACACTTATAACACATGAATAACAAACTAATAACACAATAACACATGAATAACACACTAATAACACATTAATAGCACACTAATAACACAGTAATAACAGACTTATAACACATTAATAACACTTTAATAACACACTAATAACACTTTAATAACACATTAATAACACACTAATAACACACTAATAACAGACTTATAACACATTAATAACACACTAATAACACACTAATAACAGACTTATAACACATTAATAACACACTAACACATTAATAACACTTTAATAACACACTAATAACACAATAACACACTAATAACACAGTAATAACACACTAATAACAGACTTATAACACATTAATAACACACTAACACATTAATAACACTTTAATAACACATTAATAACACTTTAATAACACACTAATAACACATTAATAACACACTAATAACACAGTAATAACAGACTTATAACACATTAATAACACACTAATAACACTAATAACAGACTTATAACACATGAATAACAGACTTATAACACATTAATAACACACTAATAGCACATTAATAGCACACTTATAACACATGAATAACAAACTAATAACACAATAACACATGAATAACACACTAATAGCACAGTAATAACAGACTTATAACACTTTAATAACACACTAATAACACATTAATAACACATTAATAACACACTAATAACAGACTTATAACACATTAACACACTAACACATTAATAACACACTAATAACACATTAATAACAGACTTATAACATATTAATAACACACTAACACATTAATAACACATTAATAGCACACTAATAACACATTAATAACACATTAATAACACATTAATAACACACTAATAACACTTTAATAACACATTAATAACACATTAATAACACATTAATAACACACTAATAACACATTAATAGCACACTAATAACACATTAATAACACATTAATAACACATTAATAACACACTAATAACAC